GTATTAATATAAATATTAATATTAAAATAATAAAATTAAAAAATTAAAATGTTTTCTATGTATCAACTAATTCCATTGAACCAAATATCAATTGTTGTATAAAGCAAATGAACATTATTAAATTCAACAAAAGTAATATGTAAATGTAACTGCATAAATTCAATATTCATATTACGAAAAGTGTACTACTATATTATATTTGAGTTACTATAAAAACTAAGAACATTTAACCGCAACTGAATAAAGTTAATTTTACAATGTCATTTTTTTAAGTCTGCAAGACACTTATATAGTGTTTTAGCATTTTTAAATATTATACAATTATTTTTCATTTTTAAAATTGTGCATATAAATTAATATCTCAACTATCGTGATCTAGCGACATCACCATTTCTTTGACCCGCTTTCTCTTTTTCCAGCCGATTTGACTTTAATATATGCACTTGACTATTCACCTGCGCATATTTTCTTTAATTGGAAAATTCACGCATAGGTAATTATTTATTCTTCTGTATGCACTGAGAAAAATTGACATTCTAGGTAAATATTAAAATAAGAATATGCATACAGAATATGCTAGTTAAAATATTAGGACATACCTACAGCAGAAATACAGTTTCTTGCGAAACAAGGAATACGGCTGAGCCACATATTACATAGCTTAACTCTTTAATTATCAATATTTTAAAGAATCACATTATATTTTGTCGCGTTTGTAATTATTAAAAAACTATTCAGACGCCTATAACAGAATTCCATAAATAAAAATTTTAATTCTATAACATATGAGAATTTCATATATTATTATCGCGTATATATATATATGCTCTGATAAACGTAATACTCTCATGTACTTTCTTCGGTAACATGCTAACCATATTAACAATCAAAATAATTCATTAACAAATGAATGAAAATGAAGAAAGTTTAAATGTAAATTTTTATTAGAGAATTTATAATTATAGAACTAAAATTGAAAACTGCATGTTTTTGAACCCGTAATTTTTCTACACTAAAAAAGTAGTCTTCTGTTACTAACAAAAGTGTTAATTACCTGTGAGCAGAACCGGGTGGTATCGCAGTAATTTGTATAAAACATTGAATTTTCTTTTAATATCTATTCAATTATAATCTTCTGAGATTGTTGTAACAAAAAACACTTGATACTTTTTGGTGAAAATTATATTTGTTGTAATCACATTAGTTAATTTTGTCATGTTGAATGTGAAACATTGCAATGCCTTGAAACAAAAATATCGATTCAGATACAATGGAATATATTGGGTACATTTTATTAATTTTATATAACTGCATACTGCCGTACAAAATAAAAAAGTCTATAACTGACATTTGCTTTTAGGTTGTTTTTCCCGTATACAAACAAGCTAACATCAACCTAAAAGCAAATGACAGTTATAGACTTTTTTATTTTGTACGGCAGCATAAGATTCGGTTCTGCTTCGCATTGCATTACATAAAAGAAATTTATTTAACATTTATAGGTTACTGTTTGCAAAAAAAAAAAAGATTTGTTAGAAATTACTCTGTAGTAAGCCCTGAAAAAGATGTTCTGCTTGACAAATTTAATGCAATATTAAATTTAAAAAAATATTCATCTTTTTTGGCATAAAACTCTAAAGTTGTACAACTTTAAACCTCGTAGAATATTTGGGGTCTCTCAGACCTCCTTTTTTACCCAAAAGCATTTTATCTATAGGTATATTTTAATATTTTTAATAAGGAATTTAAAGTGTTCACGATCTCACTTGACAAAATCTAAACTATATTGAATGCAGACAGTGGTACCCGGTTTGATTTATAAGTGGCCGACTATACACTATACCTTTCACCGTACTACGATACTTTTTGTAGATCAATTACAAAATTCAATATAATTCAATTGAAATTTTAAACTTTTAGCATATATAGTGCATTTTTTTGGGCGAATATAATTAAAATCTCGACTAGAAAATATTTAAATTTAAACATGCTTAAAAAATATTCACTTGAAACAAAAATAAAACAAGTTTTACTTTGATTAGGATCTTGTCTCTCTAAAACAAAATCATTGAAATTTAACTGATTTTCAGTAACTCTATTCTTGCGATTTGAATCAGTAAAATTTCACTGAAGATCAGTTAAAAATTATTTAAATTTTCAGTAATTTTTTTATTAGTAAATCAGTGATATATGACTGATATTTCAATAATTTTCAACTGATTTTCAGTGAAATTCCACTGATTCAAATCGCGAGAATAGAGTCACTGATTCTCAGTCAAATTTCACTGATCTTCAATGGATGGTATATGTACACAGAGAGAAATTTATAGTAGTGGGTAACATAATTGAACCCCTTGATGCAAGAACCAGACATAGACCGTTGGAATTAAATGGGCTGCGTCTGGTTCTTGCATCAAGGGGTTCAATTGTGGTTAGGGTGACCATCTTTAATGCTACGTATACAGACAGCTATCTAGATAGTCACCGTTACCATCAATATCATCAGGAGTAACATCTTGGTAGTAAGGGGTAGCATAACTATATTTTTTTAGCATCTGTGATGGTTGGCAGTAGCATAATGATAGTATCGTGTAACATCATCTTTTTAACATCAAAATCTGACTATCCATTTCTCTCAGTGTATACCAAGTATTAAATATGTATTCTGAAATGGGTCCCAAATATATATAACCCGATTTTCCTAGGCAATTCGGGTTTTGCCAAGGCCGTTTTAGGCAAATTGAAAATCAAACTAAATTGAATTAAATTAAATTAAATTTATTGCACAAAATATTACTATGACGCAATTGATCATAAGAAAATAGTCTTAGTTGAAAGAATTTCTTTTTCAATTTACCAAATGGCTTGTATTGAGTCATGCATTAATGTAAACAAATAGTAAACGAACTGTTCTTCATAGCTCACTATTAATTAGTGTCTCTTCTGACTTTAAATTGTACTTACCATTCGAAATAAGTAACGAGAATTTTATTCAAAAATGGAAAAGCGATTTTTATGCGGCGGTTAATTTTTTTTTTAAATCAATTTTGTAACTCCCGCAACTTCTAAAATGTCATATCTTTTCAACCTTCTGTACTTAAGGCTACTTTCTACTCCATTTAATTTTCCACTTTTCACATCCTTTAAAATCTCATCATATTTCTCTTGCACAATTATTTTATAATTTGCAGATTTATTAACCGCCGCATAAAAATCGCTTTTCCATTTTTGAATAAAATTTTCGTTACTCATTTCGAATGATATGTACAATTTAAAGTCAGAAGAGACATTAATTAACAGTGAGCTATGAAGAACAGTTCGTTTACTATTTGTTTACATCAATGCATGACTCAATACAAGCCATTTGGTAAATTGAAAAAGAAATTCTTTCAACTAAGACTATTTTCTTATGATCAATTGCGTCATAGTAATATTTTTTGCAATAAATTTAATTTAATTTAATTCAATTTAGTTTGATTTTCAATTTGCCTAGGCAATTCGGGTTTGGTCTATGAATCTCTAGGAAATTCGGGTATTTCCTAAAATCATAGGCAAAACCCGAATTGCCTAGGCAATTCGGGTTTTGCCGGTAACATATATATATATATATATATATATATATATATATATATATATATATATATACCCAATGGGAAGTAAACGATTGGTTCAATAATGGGCCATGCTTGGCGAACTCCGTTCCATTATTGGAACATTAATGGCAACCATCATTGGACCACCAATGGTTTAAACTTGGGATGATCACGCTACTGCCAATGATCGGTAGCCAAGCATCGGGCCATTATTAGTTGCCAAGGAATTGCCAAGGATACAAAATCGATTTTCAAAAGCTTGATTTTTTATTGGCAGCCAACAAAAAACCAAGGTTTTGAAAATTGATTTTTTTTAATTATTAATTAAAATTTATTTTCAAAAAATATATTTTTCAAAAATTAATTTTAAAAAAATATATTTTTCAAAAATATATATTTTTTTAAATTAATAGAACATATTAATTTAATTTGTCACCTCTGGTAAAACAAAGATGAAAGACTGATAAATTCCCTCACTTTATATCTTACAGTGGAGGGATAACTGTGAATGTCTTTGCGAGAGAGGAGCACGTACTTATATAGAGCCAGTGAAACAGGTCACAAGCGAGAAGAAATCACTAGTATGCACTCTGGCGGCGCTTGTCGGAAGTGGCGCAACGTTGGTTGCCAAGCGCTGTGTCGATAATGCCACGATATGCATGCGCTCCAGAAAACAGTTCCGACAAGCGCCGCCAGAGTGCATGCTAGTGATTCCTTCTCGCTTGTGACCTGTTTCACTGGCTCTATATAAGTACCTGCTCCTCTCTCGCAAAGACATTCACAGTTATCCCTCCACTGTAAAATATAAAGTGAGGGAATTTATCAGTCTTTCATCTTTGTTTTACCAGAGGTGACAAATTAAATTAATATGTTCTATTAATTTAAAAAATATATATTTTTAAAAAATATATTTTTTTAAAATAAATTTTTGAAAAATATATTTTTTAAAAATAAATTTTTATTAATAATTAAAAAAAATCAATTTTCAAAACCTTGGTTTTTTGTTGGCTGCGAATAAAAAATCAAGCTTTTGAAAATCGATTTTGTTTCCTTGGCAATTTCTTGGCAACTAATATTGGCCCGATGCTTGGCTATCGATCATTGGCAGTAGCGTGATCATCCCAAGTTTAAACCATTGGTGGTCCAATGATGGTTGCCAATTGTTTTGCCAAGAAAAAACCATTGGGTACCAAGCATGGCCCATTATTGAACCAATCGTTAATATTGGCAACTTCCCGTTGGGTATATACATATTCTTAATTTCAGAATACATTTTTTTAATGTCTCCAAGAGAAAGGATTATTACTGTTTCAATTTAATTTTAATTTTTCCAAGAAAATCATGTCAAAGGGTGTCTGAGATAATTTAAACTCAATATTAATTAACAAAAAGTAAAAAATCACAAACCTTGGTTGATGGCTTTTGAAGAAAAGTTGCAATTCCTGCACGCACCCTATTCTTAACTCCACGCACAGTTCCCTTGGCACTCCTTATGGCTTCTTTATCTGAAATTTTACATCCTGCAAAGCATTCATTTTCCTTGTCATCGTTTTCGCCTTCGCCTGATACTATTGATGATTCCAAACGGCTTTTGTTGTCATCAAAACATTGTTCGTGCAAGTGAAATTTATAAAACCTATCATCATCATAAACATATTTCATAGTTGATATCGAGTTATTATGATGATTTGAATAGTAATTTTCGTCGCTATTTTCTTTATCCTGTATTTTATTTCTCTCTTCATATGTGCATTCTCTAACAATTGGTGACCAAGATTGTTGTTGTTGTTGTTGTATATTCTCAGTTGATAATGGGTTTACAACTCTAGGAGCACGTGAAATTTGTGTAGCTAAAGTTGGAAGAAAGTTGCCCACCAAATTCAAATTTGACAAGTAATTGCAACTACCTTTTGATACATCTTTGTCCTTTTGATGATTAACATCATCATCATCATCATTTAATAAAACAATATTTAATTTTGTAGATGGAACTTTTATATTACTATCTATTTTACTATCAACTTGTCCGACCTTGACGTTATTGGAATTGTTTTCAGCATCAAAGTTGGTCGCATGAGCCTCGAAGCCTTTCTCTTCTGTGTTGGCAATTCCATTCACCTGAGCATTTAATAGTTGCCTACTATTGAGGGAATCGCAACTAATATTACTTTGATTTTCATCATCTTCTTCTTCTTCTTCTTCTTCATTGTCACTGTCTGCATCTGCGCCACTGCTCGTTAAGCTTCCAGTACGATGATGATGATGATTGTTGAGTTCGACATTGGCATTTTCACTAAGAAGAATTGTACAAGAACTCTTTTTCGGCAACGGAGGCAGAGTACCATCTAAATCGCTACACGTCCCACTGTCCAAAGTATCAGAAGGAGAACACTGTCCACTGGACATGACCATGTTGGATAAAGAACTTTGAAATGACCCGTAATAAAAGCATTTGGGATTATTATTAATACTTGAATTGGTAAATCCCTCTTTTTGAGAATTGTGTTGAATCATTTCGTTTTTATTGTACTGTTGTCCATCATTATTAACATTTGTTTTACTGTTGATGATATTAATTCTCACACACCCATTCTCGGTCTCTGCACGGTGACTCGCAGCACACACCAGTACCACACCAGTATTCTGTTTAGCCAAACATTCGTCATAATTATTTATAATCTCCGACTGAATCTTATCTAAATTGAGTCGTACCGAAGATATCACTTTGCTATTTTCATCTTTAGGATTAATTCTTATCTTAACTACGTGCTGCTGCTGCTGCTGTTGGGGACACTCGAGAGTTTTCTGCCATTCTCGAACGTTATCTGACGATTGCACTTGACTGTCTTTGCTGCTACAGGTTGCAGCGGTAGAATCAGAAGCGCTACCTTCGATGAGTACCGTTGCCCCTGTCGCCGCCTCGACTGTAGACAGAGGTGAGGGGAAAGAGACAGTCTGGATTGATACAGTCTGCTGGTTAACAGCTACAACAGCCTGCTTCAGAGTCTGGCTTTTGCTTGGTAATGGTGATGGAGGAACGGTCATTCCGACTATCTCGTCCATCTGCTACTATCATTCGAATGGATATAGTTGACAAAGGCGACGTACAAGCCCTGTCTTCTTGATTAAACTTGCACAGACAAAGTTCAAATGATGGTCCTTTGCAACTTTTAAGTTTCGCAATTTGAATAATTAATCATGATTAAAATCACTAATTTCCGAATCACCCATCTGTGCGATTTTTAAGGCACGTTTCTAAAAAGAGTTGAACATTAAAATTAAATCATGATGATGATGATGATGATGATGATGATGGTGTTTTGCTAATCTAGCATTTGCATCAATCAATTTCCTGTCTCTTGTCGAGATTATCATTCTGCATTCTGACAGCATGGCGACAAAATCATTCTTATAATGTATTTCTAATGAAAGTTGCTGCTACCCATCTGCTTCAACCACTTTATATATAATACAATTAATTTATACTAATGAATTAGAGAATGTCGGTAATAATGTAAAAGAGAAACATGCAAAATTTAAATATGTCTATTAAGAATGAAGTAGTCACCATATAGGTGCGTGCAAATGTTGATAGTAGATTTCAAAGAACGCGCAATATCAACTTGTATGTATTTTAACTGTTTGCAAAGGAATTTCATCTAACCTAACCACATGCGCCTGTTATGTACTTGTAGGTATATATTTTTCCGGAAGTCACGTGTGTGCATCTATCATTATATTATGTAGGTGTAATTTTAATATGAAATAATGAAATCGAATTTTTAATAAAAATTTAGTAATGCATTATTACTAATGCTGCGTGCAAATGAATAAAAAACTAAAAACAAATGTCTGTTATAAATTTTTCCTTTTTACGTTGAATGGTAAACTGCAATCTACACAAATGGATAGACGTGTAAAATACTTGATTTGAAACATAAGCCTTGCCACACATGTGTTGCACAACTATACTTTTTATGTTGTAGTTGTTATTATTATTATTATTATTATTATTATTATTATTATTATTATTATTATTATTATTATTATTATTATTCATCAATTGAGAAATTGAGTATAGAAAAAGTACTGGAAAAAATTAGCAATCGGAAATTGAACAACAATAATAGAATAAATGTAACAAACATATATCAGTTTAAAATGTTGAATAGAAATTGAAATAAATTTTTATGGAATTTGCATTTCATTCTTAAATAAATAGTCCAAGTAGAACCAAATATGTACATAGTTATATTCTTCTTTACCGTTATTACAGAATGTAACTATTCAACTCTACAAATGTTTTATAGCATGTGTAATTGTTCTGTGATGTGCAATAGAAATTTAATTTATTCGTTTATTTCTATCAAGTACATATTACAAATGATATCCCACACTTTACGTTCCACTGAATAAGGGGTTAAAAGATTTTAATGTCTCTACATATTTTCAAAAGTAGAGAGTAGTAGCACGCATTCCACAAGAATTACACGCGAATGTAAAGAGAAATGATAATCTCCTCTCGAAAAATGCTAGACTAACAAAACACTCAAGTTTTCAACACTTGATCACTGCAACAATAATGGGGGTTCACTGATTAGCACGAAATTGAATTGCTTTCAAGATAAGAAATTAAAAAATACTGTAGAAAAAGTACCGGCCCGGTGGACGTTTGAAGAGGTAACTGTACTGAATGGCTCATGCAGCACTGTTTCTTGGGTTGGGTTGGGTGGGGTGGGGAGTAAAGAAGTGACGGGCCCTGGATATTTACTATATGAATACTGAAAAGATCGAGGTAGGGACAAGGAAAAGGGGGACGACAGAGGGATAGGAACGGGTCTCAAGAGTCCGGTTTCGAGTTGATGCTGATATATCTAGTGGTGTCCTCTGGTGAATCACGCGAAATCAACTTACCGGTATATACACATGTATCTCATTTAAATACTTGTTCTTTACTTTTCAATGAAGAGAGTTGAGTAAAAAATCAATCCAATCTATAGATTATCACAAGTTTTTGACATTTTGTTAAATCTATAAATACCTGCATATACGCTCCTACTTGTACTCTCGCAAACGGCTGAAACCAACCATGTACCCTACTACCAGGACACAGCGAATGCACCTGCCAAAAATTTCACCAACCTGCAACTCTGGTCGAACAGGTTGATCGACTTTCAGGTTCTGCAATTTGGCCTGATTATAACAGCATTTATGAACCTGGTTGTTATTTAGTTCAAATTCCTCTGGATTTTATAAAGCATTATGTGTCAATTTGCATATTGCAACTTGCTAAAAATATTATAAATATTATAAATAATATTTTGAGAAGAAAATATCCTAAAACTATTTAATTGTTGGTGTAAATATAGTTTTGTGGGATAAACTTCCGAAAATGAGTAAATAAATTTCATCCTAAAAAGCAAAATATTATCGTATTTATTACATTTATTTCTGTAAATTAATAGAATATTTAAAAGTAACTCAACATCAAAAGATACACGCATTTTCAATATATTTCGCAGACACGTATTTAAGTGGGGAGAAGGGGTGGGGGTGGGTTGTTTACACTGGGTCCTTTCAGTACCGCATGTAATTACGAAAAGTCAACCCCTTCGTACAGATTCTCTTTAAAGTTTTTTTAATTTTTCACGAACCCGCGTAGAAATTGAATCTGGGGCGTTATCTTGGAAAAAGATGACGAGCATATTATAGAGGGGCTTATTCCCCAGCCAATTATTAAAAATAAATTTAAATGAAAAGAATTTTTACTTGATGACTGCTGAACGATGTATATAGCCTTACTACTAAGCTATATATATATACTACACTATATATGGCATTTACCATTTGGTACTTTCATAGTTATTATGAATTATTAAATGTAATATTACATCTAGGGTACAAGTAAATCACAATAGCAACTGTTTCATATGTAATATCTATTTTTATTAAAATGTTAATAATATATTTTTACATGGTCCAATTTTGAAACTAGACAAGTAAAAATTGTAATACTACAAAGTTTAATTTACTAAATTAGTAATTGGATCAATTTATAGTCTTTGACTTTTAATGTAAATGTTCAAACAAATAATAATCTTATTCCCTGTATGCATTGGTGCACTGAAAAAAAATGTATTTTTGTTATTGCCATAATAATTGAAAAATTACTTGGTACGGTACAAACATACATATACAGTATTGCTGTTTCAACCATACGCGCAGTATATGGTTCAGACTAAAGTCCTAACCACATACTTATATGTCTGAATTAACAATATAATCTTTCTTCAGTGTGTCAATCGCACAATTTTCATTGTTTGTGTCACTCAAGTCGATGAGTGTATTTATTAGACGTTTACATGGAAATATCAAACTATTTTCATAACAAATAATATCTTATAAAAATGTATGCCATCTTGTACATAAACTAGTACGCAAGAATTTTCAACTGGAATCAAAAAACATTCACTGTAATATTTATAAATCTTTTTTCACGTAAACATAATGCAACTATTTCAGAAACTATATTAAAAATAATTATAACCATTAATGTTCTTTTTGAATAATTCTTTTACGATGGCAACTCTCTTTCCCTTGATAAAAACCAGACGTTCATGGGTTCAGATTTTCCTTTCATGGAAACGGGTCCTCTGTATTCTAATAAAAATTGTGGATCTTGATTTTCTGGCATACAAAGATATCTGAAATATAAGAAAAAAAAATTAAAGTTTCTTATCATTATTATTTGAGTTTAGAATTGTTAAATAATCAAGGGAATACAATTAATTTTGTATAGAATCAATTAGTGAAATCTATAAATCATATAGTACCTACAAGAGCAGCACGCAAAATTATCTTGATATCTCCGTAATATTACATTATAACAATGTTCAACTAACTCTCTACTGTTCAATTAGCACATTAGAGTATATTATTGAAATTTGGTTTTCTCATTTATTTGCGTACAGTTCAATTCTATACAAGTATTTAATAAAAATTAAAGTTTGCATTTGCACACTGTGTCAAATTAAACGGTATAAAGTTAAACATTTTATTTTTTTGTATAGAGTTAAACAGTATGCTGTTAAGCAAATTTCAAAAATATCTGCAACTTTGTAGAGTTGGACATTTATTTTTTTAAATGCTTGTGTAGAATTAAAATGTATACAAACGCGGGAATAAAATATTTAATTGTACTGAAATTGTATGTGTACATTTAAACAGTATATTCTAACCTTACAACATGGTAAGCTTGTTGCTTTTAAAAATCTTTAAAGTACATTTATACTTGAAATTTTAACCATAACAAAATTATTCAGTTTGTAAATGGTGCAAGTATTGAGGAATTCAAAATCCAGACAGGTTATAATTAAAATTTTTATCATGCCAGTTCTTAAAATTATAAATTATTAATTAGATTTATTAAAAGTTTAATAAATTTTCTATATTCAAGACCAACTGCAAACTATATATACAGTTTTTGAAGCCTTTGAAATGCGTATCGAGCTTATAATCAAATTACTTGTCTTGTTGCGTACATCCAATAGTTTGTACTTGAAGATACGTTCAGAGGTGAATGATCATAGTGAACGCGTAGTGACTGCAGCATAAAAATGGAAGTATTAATTGACTGTTATTTCGATAAATTGTTTTCCGAAATGGAACGAAGTAGCCTTGCATCCAGACATAAACGACGCCAATTAGTTAAATATTTTTCTGACGTTATTGAGAGTTGCTATCAAGGTAATAAAAACAAAAATAATTTCTTTTACCTATATATTGGTTATGGAATAATCACTATACACTGAAAAAAATTATATTGTTAATTCTAACATACAAACTATGGTTAGCACTTTTGTCTAAGATAAACATTCTGTATTGCTGTTCTTCAAATACACTGTAAAAAATTTAGGGAGTTAAGGGACTCGGGAGTTGGGAGTGAAATTTTTCGAGTTAAAAATCAACTCCAAAAGAGAGTTAATTTCTAACTCCCTTCATTCAACACCCGCGCGAGTTATTTTTTCCTTGGGGAGTTGGCATTTGGGTGTGAAATTTTAACTCTCTTTATTTAACTCCCCAATGGGTGCGACTTTTATAGACCCCCCGGGGGAGTTAAAATTTAACTCCCTTTTTTTTACAGTGTACATAGTGTTGGAGTTCTTCACATATATATTGCTGTCTCTTACACTGCGTATGGCTGAAACAGCAATACTGTATGGCTGTACCATATCCACCAATACAATATATGTGAGAATTAGCCATAATTAGGTATTATGGCAGTAACAAAAATACATTTTTTTCAGTGTGCGTAGGTATATATTTATTGCATTGTAGATGATTTCACATTTTAATATATTGGTTATAAAGTTAAAAGTTTTAGCTAGTGTTTACATTAAATGGCAAATTATATTTTGTCAATGAATATGAATAAAATGTGTAAAAGAAATTCTGCTCAACTTTTATAGATTATATATATATATATATATATATATATATATATATATATATATATATATATATATAGAGAGAGTAAGAATAACACAAGAAGATGAACAGTCAAAGTTGAATAAGCGAGATTTGCACTTTTACACTTTTAAATAATTTCCTTTTATCCAGCTTCGACTGCATTATATAATAAATTTTTAAAAAAAATTATTTTGCAGCTGAAAATATAGATAAACATGATGTTTGTGAACGAATCGTGCAAGCTGGGTTACGATATCACAACATCGCAATGATGGAAAATGGATCAGTATGCTTACTGGGTAAATTTCACAACGTTCTTTATGTGATTGGAAAATTGTGTTTTGACTGGAAACTATCCAATAACGAGATTGTGTCGCGTCTGTTGAATGACATATTTTATTGTGAAGGTACATTTGAAAGAATTTTTGTTGGAGCAATTTTCGGAATTCGAGTAACACATTTTCTTTCGGGTTGGAAAAGTGATTATGAAGATCGAGATGAAAACATAAATGCTTTAATGTATTTCTTGGACCATGCAACTGTTGCAAAACTTGAATATAGGTGCGCCTCATCTCTATTAAAAAGACGTTTCATCGATGTTCCCATGGAATCATATGGTCAGGTTCTTCCTCTAAGGGTAGCTGTTCAATCTGGCTCACCCGATATACTTGAGATTATGCTACGATACGGAGCTTCTACGGAGGGTGATGCTTTAGCGCCAGCTCCAATTGAAATACTGCTTTCAAATTTGGACGACTACCAATTAATGTCCAAAGAAATGAAACAAATGAAACCAATTTATCCCGAAAATCTGATAACTTGTCTCAGAATTTTATTACGAACCATTCCAATGATTACAGTCAAGACACCAAGTCATGTCGCTAATCAAAGCGGTGTAATGCACTTGACGTTCTATGAACAATATCCTAAACTTGTCGAGAGCAACTTGGTTCCAGCAGAAAGAAGTGGAGTTGTACCTCCAGAACTGAAACACTTGGCCAGATGCCGAATAAGATCTGTCCTACATCAGACATGGCAACTGCCTCATGGAATCAGAAAACTTGATATTCCAACATCACTCATGGATTATTTGGATTTACAAACAGACTAGCGTTCAATATTACCCGTTTTCAATGTTATGCTCCTTCTTGATTGAATTAATTTAAAAAACTCTTTTTATACAATTACTTTGAATTTCAATAAATGAGATAACTTACACTAATATATAAACTTGGACTAATGACAATGAAACATTATACATTACATTACATGTTTTAAATGATTTACCTGTAAGCATCCTCAGAAACATTAATTTTTCCTGGTTCTCCAGTTGTTTCAGTGCGACTAGTCAAATTAACAGTATTACCAAAAAGGCAATATCTTGGCATTCGATGACCAATCACTCCCGTAACCACTTCACCACTGTGAATTCCAATAGTAATTTTCTACAAATTTCATATATTGTTATTGCGAGAAAAACATGACGAAAAGCAAATTACACATATTCAACTTTTAATAATATAATTTTATCATTTTAATGTGTAAAAAATTATTTTCCCCCTTTAGTAATATTAATAATATGTAATAATTATGATCGCATGTGAAAAGATGTGCATTAATTATTAACGTCTCAAAGGTATAGTTTAATTACCACAGGTTCTCCATCTATTTGTACTTCATCAGCTGCTAAATCCATCATATCTAGAGCTAATCGAGCTATACACCTAGCATGAGAACGACAGGGTTCTGGCAAGCCGCTTACAGCCATATACTTGTCTCCAACAGTTTCTACCTGCATGTCAATATGTACAAGTAGTAGAGTTAGTTGCGACTTACAAGTGACATGAACAATAATAATTATTGTGCCTACACTACCGGCGGAAATTGTGCGAACGCTAACATCTCGAGCTATTAAAAAACACACCCACACAGAAAGATGAGAGTGATAACTCGGTTAAAAATGAAGTTAATAGATGCTTTTTTTAAATTGCATTGGAAAGCTTATTAAATTTCCAATAAAGTGCCACTATTTTAAGTTGTATTGCATAAATAGAAAGCGAGATATCATGTTATGAAGACAAAAAAATAATTCTATTTTTTTCGGAAATTCTTACCCCGACTTTGACTCCTGGTAACATTTAGAAAAGTTGATGAAAAAAATTGTTACTTTCACAGACTATTCCTTATTGTAACCTAAGCTTTAAATAGAGACCAAGAACAGCAAAAAATATTAACGGGTTCCCGAGATATTACAAAAAGAGTCGAACCGTGCGAAGCAGAATTTTCAATCATTGATTTTTTTAATTCGCCGTTGAGTCAATTGCGTGGCTGTGAAAAAATTGTCGAAAATTAATTTTACCAAGTACATTCTTACTGGGATCCACTTTTTAATTTAATTTATTATATAATGATATTTAAAAAGTGGATCCCAAAAAGAATGTACTTGGTAAAATTAATTTTCAACACTTTTTTTTACAGCCACGCAATTGACTCAACGGCGAATTAGAAAAATCAATGATTGAAAATATTGCTTCGCTCGGTCCGACTCTTTTTGTAATATCTCGGGAACCCGTAAATATTTTTTGCTGTTCTTGGTCTCTATTTAAAGCTTAGGTTACAATAAGGAATAGTCTATGAAAGTAACAATTTTTTTCACCAACTTTTCTAAATTTTGCCAGTAGTCAAAGTCGGGGTAAGAGACTCTGAAAAAAATGGAATTATTTTTTTGCCTTCATAACATGATATGGGGCCGTCCATATATTACGTAACGCTAATTTTTAAAAATTTTGACCCCACCTTCCCCCATGTAACACACTGTAACATATATTAGCGCCATTTTTTTTGCTTATCGTAACAAATAGCTTGACCCCCCCGCCGCCCCCAAAAATGTGTTACGTAATATATGGACGATCCCTATCTTGCTTCATATTTATGAAATACAACTTAAAATAGTGGCATTTCATTGGAAATTTAATAAGCTTTCCAATGCAATTTAAAAAAAAGCATCTAGCTTCATTTTTAACGGAATTATCACTCATCTTTCTGTGCGGGTGTGTTTTTTAATAGCTCGAGATGTTAGCGTTCGCACAATTTCCGCCGGTAGTGTATATAAAGAGTAAATTACTTGTATCTTTGCTTAGAGCTGATATGATAGTCTTTTTAAGGAGAACGCATTATACATTAGAGATCCATCTTTTATGTGCATAAATCAAAATGAAACTTGAAGTTGATAATGTTTTATGACTTTGGAAAGAAACTTTTTCATTTTGACACAAAAAAACAAACTTTATAATATTATTATTATTATTATTAAGAGTGCTTAAATATTTGTATGTACCTTATAAACATTTGGATTTTTCTTTGGATCTGTAAGAACATCAAAGGCTATATACAGTCGATTGAGCATGTCAACAATTTTCATAGCACCATTGGAATCTGTATGAGCTGAGCAGTACGCAGAAAATCCAACAATGCCAGAAAATAACAATGTTACACAGTCATACTTTTTCGCTGGAATTGGTCTGGAATGCCTCAACTCGTTTGCCACGGAAATAGGAAGGACAGAGTACAGCAACCTATGATTTTCAAATTATAAATTGATAAATTTACGCGTAAATCTAATACAACAGCAAAATGGTCATTTTCACATTGCTGAATAGTATTTGACTAAAAATAACAGTTTCATGCTTGTTCTCAAGTATAAGATTTCGTTTTAAGGTAGGTACTACTACACTTTAGAATTAAAAAAATTTTTTTTTTTTTAATTGTATTTTTTAACTCTTTATGACTTTAGAAAACACCTCCTAAAGTATTCATAACCAATTGTAAAAAATAAAAGTAAATTTTTTAAAAATTATTCAATAAATATAAAGAGCCATTGACAAATTATTAAGTAAGTCTTTAAGGGGATGGTGGGGTCCAGATTTTTGTTACGACCAGTAGAAACATTAGTGCTAATGTATGTAACAGTGTCTGACATAAAAAAAGTGGAGGGGTTTCAATTTGCAAAAGAATTTTAGGTAATTTATGGATGGCCTCTAACGATACATATAAGGTTTAAACGCATTTATCTCAAAATAAGGTTTTTTTAAATTGCGGACACTTTATCTCTGAATCTACTGAACCGATTTTAATAAATAATAAGTCGTTTTGTTTGTTAGCATGTCCTGTGTGTAAATTCACCAGAAAATAGTCAAAAAATTAAAAAAAAAAAAAAAAAACATTTTTGCAGACTAGAAAAATAATGAAAATCATTGTATACTTTGAAACAAAATATTGAAACATTTGCTAATTTTTTATTTTAGTCCATTTTCCATTACTGGTGGTGGATTTCTATGCAAAACACCTTCCTTTTTAAAAAGCAGTTTGGATTTTTTGTTTCCGATTTGTCAATCTTGAGATAAACTGTCCGCAATTGGACAATTAACTTTTTGGAGTTTCGATCTGGATGCTGTCTGCAAATTATGATATTACATAAAAATTAAAAACAATCCATTATTTTTATTCTCCAAATATGTACTAATATAGGCAAAAAAGTTTTTTTCATATTTATAATAAAAGACCTAAGAATTTTTTTTTTAAATTTGGTCTTTTAAGAGCCTTCTAATGTGTAGTATTGCGATTTTCGTCTATACTTTTACTCTGCTTATTTAAACTTTTTTTTTATTTTTTAACTACAACATGAAGAAAGCAGTAGTGAGGCGCTAGTAAAAGCCTTTGATTCAATTCCTCGAGAAATGTAAAAGAAATATTTTTATCAATTTTACCTTACCTATCAGTCTTTTGCTTTTCACCATCAAGTTCTCTATAGGTTTGTTGCAACTTGTCCGTAAGCAATTCCAAGTTTCTAGTTAGCTTATAATCAGCTTCAAATTGTTCTGACATTAATACTAAATCTCTAGTAGCATCATGAAGTGGAATGTCACTTAAATAAAGTCCTCTCCTGCAAAGGAAAATTGTTCTTTACAATCAATGAAAACTTGGTCATTTCAATTCAGTGAAAGATTCAGAATCTAGACTGATCTAGACTTCTCTTGATGATGATTGTCAGTGAAATATGATTAATCTCAGTAAAACTCCTCGATTTACACGTCATGAAATTAAGCTGTTGACTGCATCTATTTTTACCTAAACTACTCATAATGCAAATCTACTTTTTAGAACAGTTTCTTATTGTTATATTAAAGTAAAATTACTAATTTATTCAAATAGATTCAAGCAAATAATTTCTTCATAATTGCTCTCTAAATCTGAATTAGCGAAATTTTACCGATTCCCAGCGCGATAAGTATACCACTAATTTCAAAAAGCGTATATGCGCTAATTAATCAAAGGTGTACCATACCTTAAATACCAGTGGGGAGCTCGCGCGGAGGTTCCAGACCGTAGTTTCACCATATACCCATGCGAAACAGGTGTAATGCGTTGAAATGAAAAAAAAAAATAAAGTATTACCTAGTCACCACTAACGACACGCCATGGCTTTTGCAGATTAACTGTTCTCTTTGCCGGTGAGCCCCATTGGGGCCCAGGCTAGACGTAAGCAAGAGCGACCTATTTTGCGCCCGGGTCCACCATGGGAGACCCGCACCTAATCAGTGAAATTTCACTAATTAACAGTGTATATACACTAATTGGAATCTGTGGTATACTTATATCGTCTTTTCGATAACAATTGAAATTGTCAAGAAATTTTTCCACGTCAGATGGTTTAAAATAGTTTTTCACATATTTTTAAAAAGTTATAAACACCTAGATATTAAACGATTCTTAAAAAATTACGGTAATTAAAGTACTAGTAGCAGTATTAATGCATTTAGCCTCAATGTTTGTCTAAAAATATTTGAGCTAAAAATTAAACTAAAAAAATTATCTGCATTTTGGTGTATAATTGAGTAAAATTGCGTTTGCTATCATGTTACAAATGCAAGTTATCGCGAGCAACAGGCTTCATAATGAAGGGAATCCATTTAAGTGTAAATTTGTTTACTAACACGACCCACCAAGGCCTCTAGTGAGTTAAGCTCTGTGTTGGGAGAGTCGATTAAAACGAAAATAATCCATGGATTAATTATTCCAACCGTTCTAATTATGTGTTGGTGTTTGTAAGTCGATTGGTATATATGTATAATAGTGAATTCATAACAACTGACATCACTTCGGCTCCCTCTTCTCTATTCATTGATTGAAAAGAGTTTATGTCATTTCAAAATAACATTAATTTCAATTACTATCTTTCGTTCTGAACGTGACTTTTATTGAAGTGTTTTTGCATTTTCTTAATAAATTTAAAAAAAATTTTTACCTTGTTAAGTCATCAAGATTCATGACACTGGGATAGCATAGAAAAATAACCAAATCAGTCTCCGGTATGTACAACATTTGACCCTATGAAAAATATTAACTTTTAGCAATATCAACTTCCTGAAATGCATAGTCAACAACAAAAAATGTATTAAGATTAGAATTTTTCGTGTCTTAATGCGTTTTCAATTAGAGAAAATACAATTATATCACATTAATAAAGCATATATATTATGATTTTAGTTACTTTTAATCGTAAATATGAATACTCTTCTGATCCTTCAAATTTCATAATTCCTTTTTTGGTTCGCAAAACATAAACTGTGTTTATGTGAGATAATATATTCTCAAATGTCAACTCTAAATGAGGTCTCACCTGAAAATCAAAGTAAAGAAATATGTCATTGCATTATGTTTACTTTAAAATAAGAATAAAAATTTTTCAAATAGTGTGGATGCACCAGTGGTGGATCAACTGCGCGCGTCAGAAAAATGTTCATTTGAGCTTACGCGTTTGTATTTAAATGAACTTTAAGTGTCGCAGTAATTATTAAGAGATCATTATTGTAATTTGAAAAACTTTAAGTTGACATTGACAAATTATTATCATTGATGGTGTATGAAAGTAATCGTATGTCAAAATTAAGTCTATCCTTGAAGAAAGTCTTTTTCATATATACTGTTATAAAGAATAGCCTTGAAATTTGTTTAGAAACAATCAATAAGACTTTCAAGTCAAAATATGAAACTTAAGGCGCTTAATTATGATCCACAGTCACCCTATACTATATTGCATAAGATAAAAAAAAGTAACAGGAAAATTTTCTTTTCACATTTAGCACTAAATTACTTACTGTCAAAAGAATATCATTCAGTTTACATATGCCATTGGCGACTTGTGGTATAACTCGTGTAACTGTGCAGCCCGCCTGCACTATTATGAGCTTGCGATTGAACATCAGATGGAAAGGAAACACTCTGCAGAATGTAACAGGACTGACTTTTGGCTCTGTAATTGAAACATTACAAAAACATGACCAAATTTTTTTTCATAAAATTAGCGTTTGTGACGTATTATGTGGACGGCCTCTACACTGTCTAAAAAATTAACCAAATGGAAAAGCAGATGTTTTTTGGAATTATTGATACGAACTATAAAGAATATAGAAAGTGGGCAATAAACGTGTAAATTTAGTGCCTTCCCAAAGAGAAGGCATTTCTGAGCACGACTGAACATATAATATTATAATATAATTAACTTGTGGTCCTTAAATTTATAATTTCTATACTTGATTCTTACGATATGCGGCGTAATTTTCTACCAAGGTTATAAGCGCTCTATCATTAAAACACACAATTCAAGTATTTTTCCTGATGAGTATACAATTATATTTGAATTTATTTTGATATTTTAAATTATTACATATTCATTAAAGTTTAATAGTGGAAAAAAGTCTAGCACACTGGGTGCTAAAACAAAAGAAAATATCTACATGAAATCGCCGTAAAACATTAACCATAATGAAACGCGCACTCACCAACAGATAAAGTTTCCAGATCAGCAGAAATTGGTTTTGGTAGTACACCTCGACCAGCAGGAGAGGAGTCAGTAATGAGAAATTGAACATGATCACATTCGTCTTTTGTCTTCAAAATATCCATATCCACATCAGTGTTGTGGAGTTTTTTTGCCACTGTCTGCGAAAAAAATTGAATGTAGGTATTGAATCAAAGAAATGTGCATCAAACATTTTTATATTGCTTTAATCGAGAAAAAAGAAAATTAAAGAATACTTGATAGAGATTATATTAATAAATTCATCAATATTATTTAATAAATTCTTTCACAATTATTTCATAAATTAATTTTTTCAATGTTTGGAAGACGTATAAAAGGTAAAAGAAAAACACTCTTTTACTTTTTTTTAATAAAATGGACGACGTTTCAGTGGTATAGTTTTGCCACCATCATCAGGTCACTTTAATAAAAAAATTTTTTCAAATAAATACAACACAATTTTAAAACTAAAATAAAAAACTAAAAACATTTTTTACCTATAGTTAAAATCAATAAAATAAACATCGCGTCAATAAATTAACAAAATACAACAAAAATATAAAATATTTAAATTTACAAATCACAAAGATATTAAAACGAGTGATTAATAGTCAAACTGACTGAGCCGATGACAATTTTCGCATTATATACAGGCGATGAGGTCAATGACCCGCAATCGAAATATTAATAGTAAAATTATTACATTTAATTTACATCATCTCAGTAAAATTAATCGTTTTTTATAAGAAGTTTCATAATCTAAAATTTCTGCATAGTCAAAATTAAAAGAATGATTATATTCAATTTGATGTTTGTTCACAATAACAGATTCGAGGTTTTTGTTTTTATGTTCACTAATTCCTTTTTTCAAAGTACGTTATGATTCATCAATATATACGTGGTGTGGCTGGGCAACTATTACAATTAAATTTATAAAAAATATTTTGGTACTAAATCGTCATTTGGTTCTATATTTTAATACCGAAAATCAGCTCTAATTTAGAACCTTTTATTTACAGTGACGGCATTGTTAGTTTATTTTTTATCTATTGTTTTATGAATTAATGTATGATTTCGTTTTTTAATATTTTCTTGTATAAATTCTAAAGGGTGATTGTTGTTTTCCAGAATTTCAAAGATTCGTTTAAATTTATACGTCTTCCAAAAATCGAAAAAATTATAATTTATTTAATATTAATAAATATTTAATTATTTTTGAAAAAAAGAAAAAAAAATTGATAAATTTTTATTCCAAATATAATTTTACCAAAAATTTTCAGCACAATTTTCGTGTAAGACAATAATGAAAATGTAAATTAATTGTTACTTACTTTTACTATTCCTATAACAATATGCTCTAAACCAGGACGGTCTGAATAATAATGTAAAACAAGAGCCCCATCCTCTGGACGTTCTGTACATCTAAAGGATGGTGCTCTCATTCCAGGGTACAACGTTCCAAGATGATCATGGAGTGCGTCTAAATTCTGAAACATAATTATCATTTCTGAAAAAACACAGAAAATTATGGGGTATTGACTCAAAACCAAAATGGATTAAATCAACATGCAACACTTTAATCCACCCAATTTTCCAAAATGTTTTAAAAATCATTTGATTTTGATTTAGATACATTTTTGTCATGGAAAAAGTTAATTCAAAATTCAAAATTTTAAATTATTTCCGTGTCAATTTAAGCTGTCAACGCTTCTTAATCTCGGTGCAGAAGTTTCCTGGAATGATACACTCTAGGGAAATTTTCGTAGAAAACACCAGAAACGACCGCATTAATTTCTTTTTTAATAAAGACATTACGAGAAAAGGTCGAATATATCGAAAAATATGGAAATGATAGCATTGACAATGCAAAAAGTTATAAAGGAGAACTCACATTTCCAAATATAAAATGTAACACCTTAAAAACATTCGTTTTTTTAATATCATTGGATTTTTTTCACAATATTTATAAAAAATTAATTGTTTTTTTTAGAAATTCCATGTACCCGTCCATAATATAAAAAACAAGTTGTTCATTTCATGATCATTTAGCTTCCTCAATATAATATATACCAATTGCTTAATTTTTTATTATAGAATAATTATTTTAAAGTGTTGAGATGAAGTTTCAAAAAATACAAAATTTCAATTTTTTGTGAAAAATAAAAATACCGATTAATTTTATAAATACCTATTCACAAAATATTATATACAAAATCGACATCACTATAAGGCTTATTCCTTTGAGAGGAAGCAATAAATTAAGGTTAATGTCCCAGTTAACTTCAATGTTTTAATTGCTCTGAATTTATTGTGGGCCACTGCCTAAATTGAGTTTAAAATAAAAAATAACGATGAAATACATTTATTAAATGGTAAGAAATATTAAAAATGTTATAAATGTTTAATTATTAGTTTAAAATTAGAAAAGAAAAAGTAAGAAAATGAAATTAATCGGAATCACAATTTGGACAATTAAAATAGGCTCCATTAATTACAAATTTTTAAGTGAACAGCTTTATCGCATGAATCGAATTGTTTTTGTTAAATCACTATAGCTATCAGTGATTTTAATAATATGTACCTGCTTTGTGCCATTAAATCGCCAAAAACAAGCAATAAATACTTTTCTAAAAAAAGTGGCCCACAATTCTCCAAATGCTTCATTTTACAAAAAGCTTTGTACTATTTATTTATTTTAATTTGATGCAAAATTTCTTTTTGGAATCAAAGAACCAATGCCACACAATAATTAAAAAAATATTTTCCATAATATATTCTTGAAAATCCTTGTAAAAATAATAAAAACATAAAGGCCCAAAATAAATATTTGAATGCAATTTTTCAGGTGATTTTTGTTTACGGTTTATAGGTAATTGTAAAGCGTTGTAAAGTCATGAAATGCTAATGAAAAATTTACTTTGGACGAAAAAATAAAATTAAAAAAAATCTGGTGATCAAACTTGTAAATATTATTAAATAATTGAGGTGGTCAATTATTTGCATTGGTGCGGCCAATCTCCCCTATAAAATGATAAAGAAAAAAGCATTTTGGAACACATTTTTAAGCTTCCCTCCAGATTTCACCGGAAACTTCCTATGAGGCGGACATTTTGCAACTTTGAAAACTTTTTTTAAACTTTCAAAGAAAGTTTAGAAAGATTCGCCATTGGAATCTTCCGGGAAAATCTTGCAACACATCAAGTTCGTATCTCCACCTCCCAAAACTGTTTACATGATATATATATATATACCCATAAATCTATATACCTGTAAGAAATCTCTCGGTGTTGCTCCCAGCACTTGAAGTATTTTATCATAACCTGAATCTTGACAAAATTCAAAAAACATACGACCAAATAATTCCAATATCTCATTTGCTGGAATGTCTGTGAATTAAAATAAAATTATGCAATACATTTAATAAATTTAATATAAATACCCCCTAAATCAAACGAAATAGTTATTTTCGTAACAAGGGCGCAAAATAGGTGATTGCGACAATGGCGAAATGAAGGGACCGAGGGGACACAATTTCGCGCCCATGATGCAAACATAATTTTTTGTCCTAACTGCATGGAAAGTATGGCATTGGGGGCACGCACGATTAAACGCTCATATTAGTTAAAAATTAAGCTCTATATAAACATTATATCGAATGAAGTCTATAATGATAGAAGTTTTAAAATAGAAATAAAAAACAATGTATTCTGGAAACATAGTACACGGGAAAAAAAAGTTCACGAATCTCTCGTGAACTAGTATATCACTTTTGGATGGGACACAAAATTCTTGAAAATCAACAAACACAGTTCGTCAAAATTTCATCAACTCCTTCACTAGAAACATAGTACGGTTTCCGAAATTTTCGTCGAAGTTAACGAAAAATTCGTGAACTTTTAAAAAATGCTAAAAACAAGAAAAAATAATTTCCAGACACTACTTTTTTGATAGTATTTCACTTAATTTGATAACTTGACGCCTATACGCACCCAACTACACAGAATACACAATTTTATCGCTATTAAAATTCGTAATTCGCTTCACGGGATTCGATACCCTATAACATAATATTTCTAACAACTAACCGCCACGGCTAAACCTATATACACAGTACTTTTGCAAATGACACGATTAGCTTTGTCTGCTGTAAAACTCAGGACCGTGCAAAGTAGAAAAAGACCCTTGTCGTAACCTTTAATTTAATTTATGAATTATTTGTTTCACAAAAGAAATTACCACACAAAAATATTCACTAAATAATAAAAAACACTGTTTCTAAATAATAACTTTCATCAAAGAATTTGCCCGAATGTAAACACCGATGACACCGACTGAATGATGAATGCTTGATCAGCCATATTTGATGCGCATTACGAACTGCGCATACTACTGAAACTCGCAAGTTCACGATTTTTTCGTGAACTTGTACCTCTACTTTTGACGAACTACTCATCCTTAACACAGTTCATCAAAAATTCATTAACTTTGTTTCAGTCTTTCGTTGACGTTCGCCATTTCTAATCAAAAGTGAATGAAAATTTTGAAATTTTGTGTCCCATCCAAAAGTGATATACTAGTTCACGAGAGATTCGTGAACTTTTTTTTTCGTGTATTTATTTAGAACGTTGTAATTAATAATTGAACAAAACTAAAACAAGAACTTTTAAAATTGACAATTTTGATAAACGAAATAGGAACAAAACCAAATATCTCATTATTTTTTTAGAGAAAATAAAAAAAAAATTCCAAATTTTTATAGACAAAATAAAACAAGTTGAAAATGTTTGCAGTTCTATAGTCAACATAAAAAGAAAGTCGAAAATGTCGCATTTTAATGAAGAAAATCAAATAATTAACAAGCGGGCGCAAAATACTTTTCCGCCCGCTAACGTCATACAAGCGGGCGTAATGTGTTACTTTGCGCCCGCCTTAAGTGCCCGAAATGACATACTTTTCGTGCAGGTAGGACAAAAATAATTATTCGAGACAATGGTAATTACAACAAATGACATTTCGATTAAATGAAATTTATAACTCATTACATTTAGAGAAATTGATATTTAGGTTAAAAAACATTTCGAATAAAAAAACAAATGTTAATTAATGATTTAAAAAAATAGGAATTGTAACAGATGAAATATCGGAAAATCGAAAATTAGTCCAAACAATTAATTGGAAAAATAAAAATAATGTCAAATGTTTTTTCGGGCTATCGAAATCTCTATTAAATAATATATCTGCAAAATAAAAATTAGAGCTAATGAATCATCGGGAAAATAAAAATTAGATTAAATAATTATTCCAACAAATATAGCTTATGGCAACTGGTGCGATTCGGCAAAGTGAATTTCGGTTACTTGTTATTATATCAAATGGGATTTGTGGAAGATTGATGCGCGTCCCCAGTGATTGATTAGAAATGTAATGCGCTGCTTTAGCAGTCACTGGTTAGATTATCTGTCCAGTGACTGGCAAGTAACTGGACAGTTTTCTGCTCAAAATCTAGAATAAAATATTCCTGGCTCTTTTTATTTTGTATATATAATTACATATTTATTTACATTTTTGTGTTTATTCAAATATTTAAGACTAATGAACAATTACTCTACCACTAACACTTGAATCTAAGAATGAAAAATTTGCACGCATGGGGAGGATCGAACCCTAGACACTGGAGACACAACGCATATGTGCGTTATCACGCAGCCACGGTGACTAGTTTATCATAACCATAACCACTAGTTTATCATAACTACAAGTTTAAGAACTAAAGTTCTATTCCGATTGTGACCAGAATTTGTGGCCAGTGACTTGTCAGAAGTAATGGTCAGAAGTAATGATCAAAAATCATGACCAGATAAACTGTTTAGTCACTTGTCAGAGACTTGACGGCTTATCTTGTCAAAATTTAGAAAAATATAAAATTTGGTAATGTGACAGTGAAACGGTCATAACAGTTATTTTATAGTTAATATGCATACTTAGTCGATTAACAGCTGCAGAAATAAGGTTATACGTAATTTCATCGTCATAAATTTGACGAACTAGAAATTGTCCGTCCATATTTATAGCAGCATCTCTCCTAAAAAAGGATGTTTTTTATTGATGGAATACTCAAGTATGTAAATAATAATAATTAAAATCCACGTAAGAAACATTCGTTTCAAATAAATCTATACTTGACAAAGAAAACGTAATATTTTAATATCTATATATAAATATTAAAAGTGAACTTTTAGATATTTTATGATAGAATGTCCGCAAGCGCTTGGCCTGACAGAAGATTTCTCCAGCAGGCACTTTAGCTGCGCCCAATCTTGGAATTTAAATTTAGGACCTTGTTTTTTAGTGCGCTGAAAAGCAATGTTTAATTACACTGTAAAAATAAGGCGTCTTGGACGTTCTATCATTTATTTTTTTTTAACATTTAGATGTGTATTGCAAAAATAGAAATTAGTCAATACATATTATAACGTCCCTTTTATGTTTTCATTAATTTAATGAATTTTCAGTTTCACCTTTTTTGTATAATAGAAAACACATTATATGTAAGATTGTTTTAAAATCTCCAAGTTTTACCTACTTTATTGCTTCCCATGTGTCGTTGTCAAAGGTCTTCACCACTAGAAGTTCCAGAGCATAATTCACAAAACCATACTGTACATAAATTGAAAAACCCAATATAATAATAAATATAAAATGTATCTATATGGGCATATCTCTAGAACCTTTAACTTTTCAATGAGAAAAAATTTGTTAATTTTTTATTGAGCACAGTATTGAAACTCTGTCTACATAAACTTTAAGAAATAAGCTTTCAAAATATCCAAGTGGACAGATAAAATGATTCGTCTTCAAAAAGTTATAAACTATTTAAAATTGCGAATTATTTTTAACGTGCAACAAAAAAATATTTAACAGGTGTTTGTTTTTTAGAATCGAAAACAGTTGAAAGTAATTAACTGAGGGGTTATAATTTATAATATAATAATTATATTATTATATAATATATTACTTTTGTATTTATTATATTATTACTAGTCATTAACATTACTTTTCTTTTATTTTTTGTTTGAATTACTAAAAAATTAAAATGGTTTTTATTTTAAAAATAGATTTTAATTAAACTGAATTGTAAAAATATGAAATTATAATGTATAAAGTTTACCTTGCAATTTCCAGATACATTTTATTTAAATTTAACACTCATAAACTTTCCAATTTCTATTCATTTTTTTCTATTTTTCTTTTTTCTTATATATCCTATTTTTTTCGATCATTTATTCTGTCTAAAAAATCAAAATATAAACATTGAAACTTAACCTTCAGTTTTATTTATTAACAGTTTCTATAAAAAAGTGAGAATCGACAACTTCATACTTAACAATTTCTTTTCTAAAAACTTTTGGTTGATTACGGTCGACCGTAATTGACAAATATTTTTACATTATCTTTGCAATAAAGTATTTTTTCTTGAAGCACATTCACGGGATGTTAAATGGCACATGCGAAAATATTTACAAGTACTTTTAAAATACTTTTATTTGATTTTCGTGGAGTATCACTCGAATTACGGTCGTTTTCAAATTTTGTACGCGCGTGTTTTCTGTTATTTAAATTACAACAGTTTTTTGAAGACACGAGGCACATCAATTTACTATGTCTCAAAATAATTCTAATAATTTGAACTTTTATTTCCCGTAAGTCATTTTGATGTGCCATTTGTCTTATTAATGAAAAATGATAAATATCTCGATTACGATCAAAAAGGTTAAAAGTGAGGGACAACGTTTGAAAGCTTATAACTTTTTTCAAAATTAACAAATTTTTAATTTTCATACGGAAAAGTGTTCACTGTTTAATTAACTTTAAAAAGATGCGTCTTAGAATTAGTAACTCTTATTCATTACAAAGTTTTATCGTTTAACCCATCCGAGAGTATGGTTAGGGACAAGTAGATATTGTAAAAAATCGGGCACTCAGATTGGAATAATTATTGATATATTTAATAAATTAATGTAAAACCTTTTGGAACTGATTCATCTTATCAAGCTTTAATATTTCCAACAAAAATAAAGTAAAAAGTTATTGAAATTATCGAAATATATGCGAGGGACATGAAAGTTAAAGGTTCCAGAGATATGCCCATATACTAAAAAATATCTACACTCTAAATAATTGAATTAAAATAAACTTTTCTAAATTACTATAGCCCAGTATAGTAATAGTAATTATTTACTATACCTTTAACTCTATAATTATAGGTAACAATTAATGTCTTTGCTGCGATACTGTAAACAAATTTTTCAATACAAAAATGTCAATTTCATTATTTCAACAATGTAATTATACAAAACTAATAGTCATAATTAAATTGCGACAACCAATATATTACCAGTTCTAATTAAAGTACTATATAAGTACACTGTGAAACAGTAAAATTTCATTCATCATTTATTAGCTCACATTAATTAAAATTAGTTGTAGTATAAATAATTATCTCACTGCCAGCAATAAAATTTCGCCTATTAAAATGCAAAGAATTAATTTTACTCTACTATAAAATAAGAATATTAAAATTAAAACAAATAAAAGTTTTGACATTTTCTTTTTAAATCATTGCGAAATCAACATTAAAAATATTGAAAATTTGTTTAACACACTTGAGATCACATCAGTCTTTGCATTTATTGTTTCTTTGGAAAGTGTAATCAAATTTTCTTTAAACTTAACATTGAGAACGTGCCCTTATACATGAAACAAACATACCATGATTTTATGTTAAAGCGTACGACGATTTCTCTTGTAAACAATAAGAAGAAAGAAGCAATTATCATTATTTTTCAATTGCTGCAAAGATTCGCGCGTTATCCTTGTGAATGCAGGGCGCAAACTGCAGTCAGAATTGTATACACGAAACTTATCGATTTTATGCGGAACAACTGTGCCACCTATCGTTTCTCATTGTGATTTACAATATTACTATTCTAACATAAACGGGGGTTGAAAATAAGCGATAAACACTAAAAAAAATATACTTATGGTACTGCCATAAATATAGCCAATTCTCACATATTGTATTGGTGGATATGGAATAACTGCCATACAGTATTGATGTTTCAGCTATATACATCCTAACTATATACTTGTGTATGTCAAAATTGACATTATCATTTTTCTCAGTGTACCAATTTAAACATATTATAACTATTAATTTGAAATAAACCATAAACAAATATTTTGTAATTCCGTACAGTTACGACGCACGCCGATACCAGTTTTTAAAAACATATCGCTATGAAAATAATATGGTTTTTCCAATCATATATAATTATTTGGAAAACTTGACAATTTATTTAGAAATAACAAATATCGTTACATCTGCGTGGATGTTTAGTTATCAATATAGCACTTGTAGCTAACAAGTTACTATTTGTATAGTATTTAATTCTTTTCTTCAAACCAAAATTGTTTCTTTTCTAAACAAAGAATTATAATTTCAATCAATCCAATATATTCGTAAATATTAACCATATTCATAGTTATTGCAAGAAATTTATGTGAGGCGTCATCTCCGTGCAAGATTCATTACTCTCTAAAACTGAATCAGTAAAATTTCACTAAAGATCAGTTAAAAATGATTGAAATTTCTGTCATTTTTCACTGATTGGCCAATTAAAAAATAACTGAAATTTTCAATAGTTTTTTAATTGGCCAATGATATTTCAGTAATTTTCAACTGATTTTCAGTGAAATTCCACTGATTCAAATCGCGAGAATAGAGTCACTGATTCTCAGTCAAATTTCACTGATTTTCAGTGGAATTTCACTGATTCAGATGTGGAGAGTAAGTAATATTTTATCTTTTGATAATTATGAGAATGCTTTATTTTAAAGTTATATCATTTTTTCATTAAGTCAAAAAGTAAGTTTCTACTTAATAATTTGAAATATAATAATGAGTAGTTTCAGTAAACGTCTTTCATGCCGCCTCGCAATCAGTGAAACGTGGCAAGTTTGGTCAGACATGGTGTATGCAATAACCAAATCAACAATATTCACTGTAACCACCAAGAATTGTCCCAAGTTTTTTTCCTCATCCGAGTCGAAATTTTAGTCCTTTTTTCAACTCGAATTGTATATAGAATTTACTTTGATCTCCGGATCTTAAAAGGGCACTTTTATCATTTAAAGTAAATGCTGAAAGTGCCCTTCCAAGATCCAAAGCCTCATATGTAAAACACTTTATGCATACACTGCAAAAATAAGTGTCTTATTTGATATCTTCCCAACGGGAAGTTGCCAATGTTAACGATTGGTTCAATAATGGGCCATGCTTGGTGCCCAATGGTTTTTTCTTGGCAAAACAATTGGCAACCATCATTGGACCACCAATGGTTTTAACTTGGGATGATCACGCTACTGCCAATGATCGGTAGCCAAGCATCGGGCCAATATTAGTTGCCAAGGAATTGCCAAGGAAACAAAATCGATTTTCAAAAGCTTGATTTTTTATTGGCAGCCAACAAAAAACCAAGGTTTTAAAAATTGGTTTTTTTTAATTATTAATTAAAATTTATTTTTAAAAAATATATTTTTCAAAAATTTATTTTTTAAAAATATATATTTTTTTAAATTAATAGAACATATTAATTTAATTTGTCACCTCTGGTAAAACAAAGATGAAAGACTGATAAATTCCCTCACTTTATATCTTACAGTGGAGGGATAACTGTGAATGTCTTTGCGAGAGAGGAGCAGGTACTTATATAGAGCCAGTGAAACAGGTCACAAGCGAGAAGAAATCACTAGCATGCACTCTGGCGGCGCTTGTCGGAACTGTTTTCTGGCGCGCATGCATATCCTGACGTTATCGACACAGCGCTTGGCAACCAACGTTGCGCCACTTCCGACAAGCGCCGCCAGAGTGCATGCTAGTGATTTCTTCTCGCTTGTGACCTTTCTCACTGGCTCTATATAAGTACCTGCTCCTCTCTCGCAAAGACATTCACAGTCATCCCTCCACTGTAAAATATAAAGTGAGGGAATTTATCAGTCTTTCATCTTTGTTTTACCAGAGGTGACAAATTAAATTAATATGTTCTATTAATTTAAAAAAATATATATTTTTTTAAAATTAATTTTTGAAAAATATATTTTTTGAAAATAAATTTTAATTAATAATTAAAAAAAATCAATTTTCAAAACCTTGGTTTTTTGTTGGCTGCCAATAAAAAATCAAGCTTTTAAAAATCGATTTTGTTTTCTTGGCAATTCCTTGGCAACTAATATTGGCCCGATGCTTGGCTACCGATCATTGGCAGTAGCGTGATCATCCCAAGTTTAAACCATTGGTGGTCCAATGATGGTTGCCATTAATGTTTCAATAATGGAACGGAGTTCGCCAAGCATGGCCCATTATTGAACCAATCGTTTACTTCCCATTGGGTTAAAATATATAAGATGTAAGTAAAAAAGTAAGATACTTTTGTAAGTTTTTTAAAGTATCTTAAATTAAGATGTTTCTGTCTCAATAAGATGTTTAGCAATAATAAGATACTTGTGAATTGTAATAAGATGCGAAAAAATTTAAGTTACTAAAAACTAAGATGCATAAAATGTCTTACATATAAGCCCATAGTTCACCTCAAAACTTTTTGCCCCAAAAATACAAAGAAAATGTGTACGAAGGTACTTTTAACATCTTAAATTAAGATATTTTAAATGACTAAAAAGTGACTACCATAACATCTTAGAAATGACTACCAAAACATCTTAAATAAGATACTTCTTTTTGCAGTGTAGTTTCTATAGTAAACTTGCATTTTTTTCGCATCTTATAATTTACAAGTAAATTATCGCTAAACATGTTAAACTACACTGAAAAAAAAATTATTAGATTCAAATAAGCGATTAATTGACTATTATCAATTAAATATTTAATTAAATCAAATAATATTTTTATTGTAGCTGTCAATTGAATGGTATTTGCTTCAAATACTGAAATTATTGTTGGTTTAAATACCATTCAATTGACAGCTACAATCAAAATATTATTTGATTCAGGTAAATATTTAATTCATAATAGTTAATTAATCGGTTATTTGAAACAATTACATTTTTCTTTCAGTGTAAGTGTCTTTACTGTACACTGAAAAAAAATGACATTGTCAATTCCGACATACGAGTATGGTTAGGACATATAGCTGAAACAGCAATACTGTATTTCTGTTTTTAAAATACAGTATTGGTGTTCTTCACATACATATTACTGTCTCTCACATACATATATGGCTGTTCTACACTGCTTATGGCTAAAACAGCAATACTGTATGGCTGTTCCATATCCAACAATATAATATGTGAGAATTGACCATATTTATGGCAGTACCATAAATATATTTTTTTCAGTGTATAGTTTTTAATAGCTTACCGATCATTTTAAGGGTTCCTAAAAGAAAATTGTGATTTTTGTGTACAGTTTTTCCTAATTTTTTTTTTTTTTATTTTAGTGGTTTACAATTTCTCAACTCATACATGCCCTTATTATATTTATTAAACAATATACTTAATTATTCTTTTCTTTATTAATTAAAATTTATAAACATTATTATTATGCGACTTGAAATACCCCGTAAAAAAGTTATTGGTAATAAAAAAAAGGAATAAATAACCATATCTTTGACTATTTATAGCATTACAATTATCATTTGAATTTTCATGATAATTATATTTATCTTCATATAGTCAACTTATTACATGTATAATATATAGTATGCAAAAAAATAATTGTTATTATCCAAATTATGTGTGTATAATATAACGAGGAGAAAAAGAAATTACAAAATGATGTGATAATTTGGTTTCTAGTTTTATGTTCTTCATATTTTTATTGGACAGTACGATAATTTTTCAAATATTGAATATTTCAATCGACATGTCTTTTCTATTATGCAAAAAATTTTCAATTATAAACCCCAGGTGGAAAAATTCGCGTGAGTTTCTCACGTGAGACTCGCGTGAGTATCTCACGTGAGATTCGCGTGAGATTCGCGTGAGTATCACAAAAAATTTGCTTGAGTATCACATGAGTATCTCACCCTACAGACTTACGCGAATTTGTGCCGATATTGCATAGCAATATTGCAAAAATTTCCGAACAATGTACACACAACATTGACTCAACATTAATTATGTCTGCTCTGCCCGAGATTAATTATGTCAACATTGTCAGGTTATATTTAAGCATAATTAAGACAACATTGTATGGAAATGTTATAATATATAAAAATATAATAATACTAGGGGGCTCCGCCCCCTGCTATTCTTTTTATTTATTTCAATTTTTATAAATTTCAAATCAGGTTAATGAGGAATTTATTAGGCCATGGGGCCTACTTTTGACCGGGGGGTCGATTTTGTAACTTTCCCACTCCCACTTCCATCCTCTTACTTTCCACTCTCACTTATATTTCCCACTTTTAGTCCCACACCCACTTCCCAACTTCCACTTATCACTCTTATTTCCCACATCCACTTTCCACTCTCACTACCCATTCTCACTTTTTACTTCCCACTCTCACTTCCCACTCTCACTTCTAGTTCCCACTTTTACTTCACACCTTCTACTTTTCACACACACTTTCTACTCATACCTTCTACTTCCTACTCCTACTTCCTACATTATGTATTTTTGCACTTCCCACTCTCACTTATTATCTTCCACTTTGACTTCCTAACTTCTAGTTTTTATATCTTCTTTTCACTTTTACGCCTTGTTGACACTCACACTTTCAACCTTACACTCATAATCGTTAATCAGGTATTTTCATTTAAAAGTAAGAGTGGTGTGTGAGAGTGGAAGTGGGACGTGAAAGTGTGAAATTGGAGTGAAAAGTGAGAGT